CTGATTGAGCTACGGGAAAGGTCGTTGAATGGTGTAGCGTCATCGTCAGAACAAATACCGGGTTTTGCCTCCATTGGACATGTTTTTTTCTTAATGATACGTCACCTGCTTCTTTGGAACATTGTCCCATATTATTAAAACTCTGCATGGGCTGTTGCGTGCTAAAAACTTCCTCATCTCATCGGCGCATTGTGACTTGGCCAAATCGTAGTGCTTCGTGAATTCTTGCCTTGGCTACTGATGTCTTTTGCTCGCCCTGCATAGATTCATGTTTGGTAGCCCCATAGAAGTATTTTCTTTCATTCTTCCTCATGTACCATCGAGTCATCTAATTGCATATCGTTGGACCAAGTATATCTAAAAAATACTTTGTTAATTGCAATATTTGGTCGTGAAAAGCGGATTGCACTCCTATTCGGATGTTTTCTTTAATATATTGTAATGACGCATATAGACTTTGCTCCCCGGCCTCCGTTGAAGCAGAAGCCTTTGTGCATAGCGTGGGGATATTTCTTGGAATCTCTGAGGACTTATCTCCCCCGCCTTCATTAGATCATTGACTGTTCTTGAAAACTATCGGATTGCTTAGTGTGCGACTTCGTAAATTCATGGATATAGAGGAACACAATGTTTCCCACTGAATGTGCTAATCTATTGTTGCTCAAAATAATTTTCGGTGACTTATCGGAGAGAGCCGGATGAAAATTGGGTGGATTCTTTGACTTCCTCCAAATAGGATCCAAAACTGTGTTCACAAAAATAATTAACAAAAAAAAAAGGGAAATGAAAAGAAAGAGAACAAATTAAGAAAGAAAAAAAAAGAAATAAACAAGAAACTAAACTGAGCAAAAAAAAAAGTTAAATGAAACAAAAAAAAAAAGAAAAACAAAAGGAAGAAAATTAAAAACTAAAAAATAAAAACTGCAATGAAGAAATTATAATGTTGGACGTATCCTCCTAATAAGCTATTCAACATATATTTATACTACTTATAACAATATCTAATCTAATTAAGATTTTAGTTTATCCATACTTCTAATAATATTTAACAAATTTTCAGAATCAAATCTAATTAATTTTATCTCAAATAATATTTTGGGATAACAATATGTTTGATACTTAACAATATCGTGAGCTTGTTTATTTAGTTTGCATATGTTTTGAATTTAGTTTGGAGACACATTGGCTGTGTTTCTTTGGCGTTTTGTTTTCCAAACTTATTGTGTTACTGAAATTTACGCGCGAGACCAGGACCTAGAAGATAGAAACTCCATCTTATAAACTAGGTTTTGCTTTTTTTCATTTCCCTAATTAAAATCTATCTACCACTGCACTTTCATTATTCCAAATAAATCCTCTCACTTGAGGAACCGACATCCATTGCTCTATAGAAGGATTTTCCATATCTTTGCTACCACTTAACGAAGGACAACTTATCGGTGCGGCAACGCCGAAGCACGTTGGAGAAAATCGCCGGTCAGCAGCTAAGGCTAGGGTTTTTCCGGCAATAAGAGTTTATTTCGGATAATTTTGATTTCCTTTTCAATTTATGATAAAAAAAATGGTAGAAGATGAGAATAAGGGGGAAGCATAAAGTATTATAAGTGCCACAATAAAATAAAATAGGAAAGAAGAAATAGAGAAAAGGAAGATGAAGAAGAAGATGGTGGATGAGAGTTGTAAAAACAAATTATGGAAAAAATAATGAAGAAGAAGAAAAATAAGAAGGGAAAAGAAGAAGACGGCTAAAGGATGAGAGGAAGGGGAGGGAAGGGGCTGCGGAGGCGGCCGTAAGAATGGGGTTTTATTTTGTCAAAAATGTTATTTTTTTATAATATATATAATCAAAAATAATATATTATAAATTAAAATAATATTATTATTAACAAAAAAAATTAATTTATTTAATCTAATACTCCTTTCGTCCTATAAGAAGGATATTGTTTTTCATTTTTGTCCGTCTAAAAAAATATACTATTTCCTAATTTAATAATTATACTACCTGCCTAACATAATTAATACCCTTACAACTTTTAATATATTACATAAATGTCATTACTTTTTTATCACACAATCTAATAGGGGCATTTTTGTCTTTTCCACTATAAACCAATATAATACTAATATACAAAAATATACGTGCAAAAAACAAATGTTACTCTTTTTGCGGGACAGATGTAGTATAATTTGTTAGATATTTTTTGGCCCAACCCAATACCAAGCCTAACCCGCAACCCAAAACCCTTTAACCCGACCCGGTTTTTGACCCGACCCGACCAGCACCTTATAACTCCCCATTCCCTTTCCCTTCTAATTCGAGATGATGTGTATCGCGCGATTGGTTTTTCTGGTTTTCTCTCTCTCTGGTTCATCTTCTTCGCAAACCTTCTCGGTAAGTTTGGGGGTTTTCCTTCTTCACTGAAATTGGAATCGCTCTAGTTTGATTCCTTCGGTAAGTTTTTCATCTGGGTGTTCTTCGTGAGGTTTTCGAGGAAATTGGTCGATTAGAGTTTTGGGGTTTTGTTTGGAGGCGGTTGGGATAGTCCTTAAGTGTGAGTCATTAGGTTGTAAATTGAGCCGTCAAAATAGTTTCCCCTATCGTTTGTCGAGTCACTTGGAAATTGCCGGAAGAGGAAGTCGCCGGAGCTGTTGTCTTGTCGCTGCGCGTTGTTGGGTGTGATCGTCGGAAGAAGGTCGAAAGAGGGAAGTTCAAGTTCTGCCTTCATATCATTTGCCTAATCTTGGATCCTGTTTCTGTCTATTGTGTTCTTAAATTCAATTTTAAAAAAGTATATTGCCTTTTGCTTTCAATATCGTTGGACACATGTTATTTTGATAATTTTGTTGCTTGACAGATTATATATAAAAGCACAACATAATTATTATCTATCAAATCATCCTCCATCAAAATCTCTCAAATTCAAATCACATTGTGTGTTTTTGTATTTTGAAATTGATTTAAAATAAAATATTTTGAATTTTTGTTTAAATAATATTTTAATGTAATATTTTGTGAGAGGAAGTAGTGTACTTTTATTGAAAATTGTATAATTGAATAATATTGATTTTGGTTTGAAATAGTAAAAGAACTAACTCAAAGGAATGCCTCGAAACTACAAAAAATTCAAATTAAATTAGACAACATATTACTTTGAACATAGGAGTTTAAACCAAATTCAAACCAAATTTTTTCAAATTAATCCCCAAAAAATGCACAAATTATGTTATAACAATTGAACAATTACATATTAAAACTTGTAATCCCTCCGTCCCATTAGAGTTGGCCTGTTTTAGTTTTGACACTGGATTTAAGGTAAGATTGTTTAATTAGTTAATAATAATGATTTATAATATTATTTTATTATATTTTTATATAAATAATATTGTTAATAGTTTTTAAATAAAAATTAATATATATTAAAATAAATTTGAAATATGTGTTTAAATATTGTAAATATTATATCTTAATAAAATATATAAAATATGAATATATTATTTTGTAGAAAAAAATAAAAAATAATACAAATAAATAAAAAATATATATTTATTTATTATTAAGATAAATTAATTTTATAAAAATGGTGGAATTTTAAATCGTAGATAAAAATATTTGTTTAATGAGGAGAGTACTATAAATAATTTATTTAAGTACATATAGATTTAGTAAACTTTATCAAAACTAAAATGTGCCAATTGAAGTAGGATAGACACAAAAAAGAAAAAAATAAGAAAGAAAAGAAAATTGAGACAATTGAAATAGGACGAATAGAGTATTTATCTTTATAATTTTATAATTTTCACTTAAAAAAAAATATAATAAAAATTATTAAAAAGTATTGTAACGATATCGAATTGCACAATAAACTAAATTGCACAACAAAAAATTCGGTAAGATGTACAAAAATATACTCCTCTATCGCTTTTAAAGAAGTCTTTTGGAATTTTACACTAGATTAAAAAATAACAATATTTTATTAGTGAGTGGAAATATATGAGACGATTTGATATTTTTTGCTTTTATATATACGGTAATAGTATATTTATAATTTAAATAAAATTATGAATATTTTAGTATTAGTATAATTACTTTTACTAAAATAAAAATAAAAATACTTTTAAAGTGAGACTAACAGTAACAAAAAAAAAAGTATTTTAAATTGACATGAAAAAAGTATTAAAGTAAATATAAAATATATTTATAAAAATACAATTCAACATAATTTCCAATAATATATAGACATATATATATATATCATATTGTATGGTTAGTTTCTTTTGAGAAGTTTGAGAAAATTTTAGTTTAAATTTAATATTAAAATAATATATAATGAAATATTTTGCTTCGAGAAATGCAGTGCACGTAGCAGAAATTTGAAGGTTTTGGTGTAAAATTAATTTTAATTCTTGAAAATTGCTCTTAATTAATAAAAAAAACATCAGCACATTATTAGCATTTATACGATTATTTTTATTTATGGATCTTTTAATTTTTAATTATTGGTTAATATTCCTCAAATCAATTTTAGCAGTTGATCACCATATCCCATATAAAAGAAAATGAAAATGATTTTTGACTGAGAAATTAGACTTTGAATCGTAAAAGAATTTTTTAATATAATATAAAAAATAAAAATAAAATTTTAATTTAATACTCTTTCTGTCATACAAATATATTTTTATTTAAATTTATTCTAGCTTTTTTTATAATAAAATATTAATTTTTTTTATTTTTTAATTAAAAAATTAAAATTTTTAATTTTTATTTACTTTTTTTAAAACTCGTGTCAATGGAACGAGCACACAATTTCATGATAGAATATATTTTTTTAAAAACTTTAGGTACCAATGCAATCGTGGCAAAATCCTTCGACCAAACCAAACACACCTATGTAATATATAGGTCCTATCTCCTGAAGGGCATTTAGGTAATAGCACATAAGTGGGTCCACCGCCCGCACAATTCTTTTAAATAAATATTTATACCAACCATAAATAAAGAAGTAAAATTCAATCTATACTCTGGCAGAGAGTGTGTCGGACACCGAGATCCTCGATGGCGCGTATTGCACAGCCGCAAGACGGCGGCGCGTGCATTAACGACTGTCTCGGCGACGACGAACTCCGATCAGTGCTGTCGAAGCTGGACCTCGACAGTGACAAGGAGGCGTTCGGCCTCGTCTGCAAGAGGTGGCTCCGCCTCCAAAGCACCGAGAGGAGGAAGCTCTGCGCTCGGGCAGGGCCGGGGATGCTGAAGCGGATGGCGAACAGATTCACGCGCCTCCGCGAGCTCGACCTGTCGCAGTCTGTGTCTCGTTCGTTCTACCCTGGCGTCACCGACTCCGATCTCTGCGTCATCGCCGCCTCGTTTTCTGCTTTGCGAATCCTGAATCTGCAGAATTGCAGAGGTACGATAGAAGTGATTTTTCGCGGCCTTCTAATTACTTCCATCTCGAATTTAATTCTTTCGCTTTAAGTTGTTGCTGTGTGTTTCTAATAACCGCCTGAGATTGAATTTTATGTGATGTTCATTATGAATTGGCATTTCATACTGAATGTTGATTGCTGGAACAGTTTATTTGATTTTTTGGATTTCCCTTCCGTGATCTGGGTTGCTTCGCTGATATTCTTCTAGTGGGTCTCTTTCTTAATTTTTCCTTGTTGGAAACGAATTTAGCATCACAATTGGACTTGATTCCTCAGTTGATTCCTCTATTACTGAAATTTAAGATTTCTTAAATTGTTGGAGGTCTTTTTAGGGTAATTTGCAGTCCATTCAAAACTATATACAGAAAGATTGATGAGTATTGAGTTTTTTGAATGTGAACTAAAGGTCTTTAACAAATGCATTTTTTTTCTCTCTTTAGTATCAGATAACGTTTCTGCGATATAACAGTAATAGGATTTATGGGATGCTCTATGCTCAAGTTCCTTAACACCACAATTTAGTTATGTACGAAGAATTACAGATTTACAGGAAACTTCGATGATTAACCTATTAATATCAGTGCCGGCAGCAGTGCTTTGCCCACTTTAAATGGTTTTGACTGAATGTTTTCATTAATGGAAAAGATGTCAGCTGTTTAGGCATATTTCTATTTTGATGTAATTGATAAGAAGCCAATTTTCAAATCGCCAAGGGTGAAACTTTGTTTGTGTTTAGACAGACTTATTGCAACTTTTAAGAGTATTTCTCCACCCGCATTGTATTTGCATGTTGATCTTTCACTTAGATTTACATCCTGCCATTTTGTTGAGTAACTTTTTTTTTTTTTTTTTTTAATAAGCTTTACGGGTTATGGTTGAAAAGCTTATCTATCTGTTGAAAGAAAGTATGTTCTAAAATATAAGCTAAAAATTCCGATGTTAGTTCAAAATGAAGAAACTAGTCTAATTCTATTTTGCCGTCAGTACAGGATATACTCTGAAATTTGTTTCAGTCTAATCGGATGAGAAATTATGTGAAGTAATTAAAAATTTAATGTTAATGGGATCATCTCAAGGCATGTATATTTTCATCACTCTATAGATTTTCTGTTTATGTAGAAACTAAATTTAGAATGATTCTAAACACTTTTGGCTCTTGCTTAGGCTACTGGCTATATAATTTTCCAATGTGTTGTCTGCTGTATCTATGAGCTGTCCGACATAAAAATATTATCAAACTGCCATACACCACTTGTAAAAAAATATGGCCATTAGTGACTTCACCGGATTGGCTGATTCAATCAAGAGATGCCTACACAGATTTTAGTATGGCCAGGGGACACATTGGTCCCTCCTGTATTTCTATGATTCATTCTGCAATATAACAATATATTCCTTCCGTCCAAGATCTTTTGTTAATTTATAATCTGGGACGTTCCAAAACTTCCGGAACTTTCTCTTTTACACAGTTTTACTTCTTTTACCCTGCTAAGTATATAAAATTTATAAAATCATTCAAAACAAAAAGTAAGGGGAAGACTGTCAAAAACCTATAATAACTATACCATCTAAAATACAACCAAATGTAAAGCAAGCAATCAAATTGGACCGGAGGTAGTATTAAATATTCCTAGTATTTACTATGTAACGCTTTAGGATTGCAGCAGAGCATACTCTTTGAAGTTTGAAATTAGTCTATGATCAGATTCGAGCAACCAAAATTAGATGTGAAATTCATGATGGAAACTGAGCTGCAAGCTGATTTGACTGGATCAAGGACTCTGCTCCTTTTCAAGTGGAAGCAGTAACTAATTGCTAAAAGAGATAATGGATGATTTATGCTAAGACTGCATCACTATAATAAAATGCAAAACTTCTACTTGAATTCTAGTGTGAAATTTATACGATAGTTCATCTAGGGGTTAAAGCCGAGTGGGGGCGTATTGAAGTTTCTGTTAATTAAGATCTGTCTCTACCTGATAGCATATCATATGGAATCATTAAGAAGCCTTATTTACATGAGCGAATGAATTAGCAAGCCTTGGATGCATGTTTTTGGAGAGCAAAAGTGGTTTTCTTACAACTTAGTTAGAAACTTTACAATAAAGGGGAAAAAAGAGAAGTGAGAATTTTAGTGGATGCACGACTGCATAGGCAAGTCTTATGTAATTTATTCCGTATTCATTCTGGAAGTTGGGGATTTCTTAGCAAGTTAATATATGTTCAATCAATCATTTTTCATACTTGCTCAAATCACATCACTTGAAAGCTACCCAAGTCTAACTATAGTTTCTTCTCTGATTTTCAACAGGTATAACAGACAAGGGACTGGCAGAAATCGGGTCTGGGCTTCCTTCCTTACAATCACTAGATGTTTCCTACTGCCGGAAGCTAACTGACAAAGGGTTGTCAGCCGTTGCCCAAGGCTGCCATGACCTGCGAACATTGCATGTGGCAGGTTGCAGATTTATCACTGATGGACTGTTGAAAGCCCTTTCCTCTAATTGCGATAATCTAGAAGAGCTAGACTTGCAAGGATGCACCAACATTACCGACTCTGGTCTCACTGCTCTGGTTCATGGTTGCAAGAGATTGAAACATTTAGATCTGAACAAGTGCAGTAATATTGGCGATGTTGGTGTGTCCAGCGTATCGAGAGCTTGTTCTTCTTCGTTGGTAACTCTGAAGTTGCTTGATTGCTACAAGATTGGTGATGAATCCTTAATGTCTCTGGCTGAGTACTGCAAAAATCTGGAGACCGTCATAATCGGTGGTTGTCGGAACATATCTGACGAGTCCATAAAGTCGCTGGCTTCATCTTGCAATGCTAGTCTAAAGAATCTGCGTATGGACTGGTGCATAAATATCTCGGACGTATCATTGGACTGCATTTTCTTGCTGTGCAGAAGCCTCGAGGTTCTTGATATTGGATGCTGTGAGGAGGTAACCGATGCTGCTTTTGAGGTGCTGGGAAATGACGATTGCAAGCTGAATTTGAAAATATTGAGAGCTAGCAACTGCCGGAAGATCACAGTCCACGGAATCCGCAAACTCTTGAAGTCATGTCAAGCTCTCGAATATCTTGATGTACGATCCTGCCCATATGTAACTGAGGTTGGGTGCCACGAGGCCGGCCTTCAGTTTCCGGGAGGCTGTAAGGTTAATTTTGCCGGGAGCTTGGCAGAGCCTAATTGATCGATCGATTGCGCACTAACCGGGGATGATGAGATACTATATTTTGTAAGATGACTGTTTTTTTAACTACATTGTGTTATATTCTGTAGATATGTATGCTTTTCTTCTTCTATTCCTTTATGCTTTTGTTTCGTACATTTGTGCTATGTTAATAGGTAATGCGGATTATTACCTCATCCTGTAGTTTATACTCCCTCTCCCCCTCTCTCTCTCTCCCTCTCACTCTGTTAACGCACTAATGTCTTATATTTTTATTTGAAATGTATGAATCATTATTGTCTTCTTTTTATTTTTATATACAAAATTAATAGGCGAATTTGTTATTTTATAACAAAAATTCTAATTGCTGAAAATGCGTGTAAATATCAAATAAGACATTAGTAAATGGACGAAGGGAGTATTATACATACGTATGTATGTATGTATCTATGTATACATATTTACTTATATTATGAATAGCGTGCTAAGCTCCATTGATGAGTGTTGGTGAAGAATGGGGAAGGGCAATTGAAGTATCTGTAGGCAGTTGAGGTTGGGCTTTTTCTTGGGCCTTCATTTTCTTGGTAGACTTGTAAAACATGACATAGAGTAGTAATTGGGCTGCCCCAAGTAAGGTTCCGAGCCCATTAGGGACCTGTTAGATAGATATCACGCAATGCAATTATTATACTAGTTTGATTCAAAGCAAGCTCATGGTTGTTCGATAGCATAGCAAATTAGCAATCTTTGTGAATTGTCATATGGTGTGGTGTGGTGTGGTGTGGTGGTTAGGGCTGACAAAAATTGACCCGATTTGAATTTGATCTGAAATAATTGGGTTTGGATTGAGATTTTTGATCCAATTAATAATTTGGTCAAATCGATTTAACTCATTTAATTAAACGGGTGGTCCGAATTTTCAACTTGAAAATAATTCATTTAACCTGTTTAATTAATATTATTTTCAAATATATTTTTAAAAAATTACCAATTCAATTTAATTCAAATATTCATGACCAACTTCATAAAAATAAAATAAAATTGATTAAACAAATGATTGTGTTGAGTAACTGTTATGTAGTGTTTCTTAATTCAACTATTGAATACCGATTTTAATGATATGAATATATATTTTTTGCTTTAATATGTAAATGTTTTATGCGTTTGAAAATTTTGTAAATAAAAATTATAATTTTAAATTAAAATTTAAAAATTTTAGACTTAAACAGGTTATACATGTCAGATTCAAGTTGACTCGATTAATAAAAAATCAAGTTAAAATTGCAAATATCAACCGGTTTAATTAAATGGGTCAAATTCAAGTAAAAAATTTTCTAATCCGTTTATAGCTGACCCAAACATTAACTCGACCTGACCTAATTTATTTGCCAGCCCTAACGGTGGTATTATAAATAACAATACAAGTTCAAGTTAGATAGGTAAACATATATACATACCGCAATGAAAGGGTCGAGATGAATAAGAGCATAAGAGGTCCAACAAACTCCGTTGAGAAAAGAGAAAAGCGACAAGAAAAATGGCATATATTCCACGCTTTTTGTCTTGATCACCATTTTCTGAAAACAAAATTAAAATATTATGTCTTTCATTAACCAAAATCATATCTTTAATTCTACTTTATAAATTCTTGCATAAAATTTTGACAACTTGTCCCTCAATATTTATTCATTTAATTAATAATAATAATAATAATAATAATAATAATAATAATGGTGTGTTTGCAGAAATTATATTTGTAGTGATACGATCTTCAATATACATAATATTTCATCTGTCTATTTTAAAAGTAAATATTTATTTTTGATACATAGTTTAATAAATATTATATTTTAATGATAACTGGTAGTAGTTTTGATATAAAAAAACAAATATACTCTTTTATTAAAATTATATTTTATTTATAGTAGATAATAGTTTTTGTATGAAAAAACAAATATACTCTTGTGATTAAAAAAAAGGTGGGTGTAATGGTATTATATAAATAAGTTTAGGGTTTAGGGTTTAGGGTACATGTAATGTGGAGTGGGATGGGATGGAGTCCACATTTACTTTTAAAAAAAAAATACTACTCACGTCCCGCTTTAAGAGTCTCATTTATTTTTTGCGTGTTGATATTCGAATATTAATTATTATATGAAAATGTAGTATAAATTAAAAAAAAATGACAAAAATACTTCTATTAGTGTCTTATAATACTATTATAATGACATTTGCGCAAAAAATTATACAAATATAAGGTTATTTTTAATGTTAAGTATAATAACGCAAAATGTAAATGAGACCTTAGAGCCGGACGGAAAGAATAATTACTTTGTAATTGACAACTCAAAATAAATATATGTATATTGTGTGAGTGAATGTGATAAATATATGTTATTATATCACAAAAATATTCAACACAATATTATATAAAGACTGAAATTCAATTACTCATTTCGTCTCAATTCAATAATCATATTTTACTATTTATGTCTGTTTCAAAATAATAGTATTATTTTTATAAATAAGTATATAATCATATAATTATTCTTAGTTTTTTCATTATTATTATACATATACTACTAATTTTCACCTTTAAATTAATATACAGTACTTACAAAGCCCAATGCAAATATTTTCAAATGGAGAGAGTATATTATATATAAATCAACACGTGTTAAATGATTAATCTAAGGATATGTGTAAACATGATTTGGAACCATTTTACTATTAATAAAAGTTTATTTTTCTAAAAAATATCATATACAATTTTTATTTTTATTTTAAATATTAGAGTGTGTTTGACAATTAGCTGATAGCTTTTAGCTTATAGTTGATTCAATTAGCTGGTTTAACTAGCTGATTCAATTAGCGTTTTGTATTAAAGTGTTTGGTAAAATAACTGTTTGACATTAGCTGTTTATACATGACTATTAAGGATATTGATATGTTATTTTTTAAAATATTTAATTTTATTCATTTTGGGTTGAAATTTATGAAAATTTTTGTTATTAATTATTGAAAATTATAAAATATTTATTTTTATTTTTATTAGTTAGATCTGAGAAATTTATTTTTACTAAAAAATAATAATTTTTATTGAAATTATGTAGAATATAAAATAATAAATTTTTCGTATATATATATTTTTATTATGTTAATTATAGTTTTAATATATATAAATAAATTAATAATCTTTGTTTTTTCTATTTGATTTAGTTTTAAAAATTTATATATTTTACAAATAAAATAATTTATATGTAATAATTAATAATTATTATTATTTTAAATTTACAAAAATAAAAATATAATTTAATAAATAAAATATATTAAAAATAATTAATAAACACTGCTATAAAAATATATTTATATGTATAAAATAAATAATTAAGTTTTATGGATAAATAAGAAATAACCAAAATTAAAATGATAAAGCTCTTTCAAAATGCTGGGTAGTTGAGCTTTTCAAAAATTAGCTTTTTGAGTCAAAAAAGTTTTTTCAAATAGCTAATTTACCAAACACCTAAATTAACGTTTTGACTGATCAAACAGCTAAAAGCTGTTCAATAAGCTAAAAAACTCTTTCAAACGTTGTTTCTCAAACACCCTGTTATATATATATATATAACATCTCATATAATATCTATTTACATTATATCAAATAGTCAAATTAAGATATGTTTGATTGTAATTTAAAATCGAAATCAATATTATTCAATTTACATATTTTGTTAATAAAAAAATATATATTTTTTTTCAAATTAAACCAGAACCAAACAATTTTATTCAAACTTATTATTATAATCCAAAATATTTATAACACTTCAAAAAACAACAATAAACAAACCCTAATTAATTCACAAACAACATAATAATACTCTCATAGTCTCTCAACAAACTATTTATTTTTGTATTTTTATTCATTTCAAAATAAAGTATTTATTTACTTTTTTAGTAATTATACTATCTAATATTAAAAAAACATCCTTACAACTTACAATATACTCTATACAAACGTCGTTATATTTATATTACACACTATTAATAGAGATACTTTTTTTTTTTCTTAATTTATATTATATATAAATATAATACTAATATTAAAAAATACTTGCAAAAAGAAAATGAAATCCTCTGTTATGAAACAAATGAAGTATTATAAAAAAATCATCTACAAATAATGTATTCAATAATATATAATAATACTACATATAACAATAATTCGAAAAAAAACTTTTTACTATTGAGCAATTATATTAACATTATTCAGCATCGTATATATCTTGCGTTAATGTATAGTTTAAAAAGGGTGTGTTTCGTTTGGTTGAATATGGAAAAAATATCTTTTTCTTTCGAAAAACACAGAATTCAAATAGTAAAATGTGAAAAAATTTGATTAAAAAATCAGACCTAGCACACCATATAACAACGGCCTACATAACCAAAAATTTATTGCTTTTAAATTATTAAAAGTAATTGGATTTGTTTGTTGGATGTTTATGAAAAAATAAATATTCATCATTATTTAATAAATTAGTACAAAATTTTCAAGATATCTTAGACGCAAATAACATCTAATCATACATTTAAAAATAAATAAAAAATTACCATGACTGATAACGGTGAAGCGTACATCAAAGTATTCCCGGCCATGCAAATGCTTCCTACGATAGAAGCTCGAAGTTTTATGGAGTGGACTAAGGTGAGCACAAGAAGGGTCAAAAGGGCCAAGAATGAACACTCGATGAGCATAAACATCGTCAAATTTAACCTTTTTTTGCCATTCGAAAATGCAAAAAATAGCGATATATAAACCAACTCAATAACAAGTCCGGAGGCGTTTATGGTCACAACGAGGGTGCTGTGAGGTTGTACCATAGGCAATCCATATAGTACCCAGAGCCCACAGTTGATGAATGTCGCCAAATATGGCATTGGTGAGTATAATTCCACTGATTTTTTCTTCCAAATATCATAAAATGTTGGCCTAAATTTTCAAAATAAATATATTAATTAAAAATTTTGATAAAATTGAATATATATGTATATATGTAGGAAACCAATAAATTACATATTAAAAAATAAAAAAAAAACTAATACTTACACTGGAGACAAAAACAGAATGATCGAAATAATATTACCTGATGAACCAAAAAATAATAATTAGAGATAAAAAAAAATATTAACAAACCACAAGATTTACCTGATGTGTGTTATATGTGTGTGTTTACAAATAAATTAAAGAAGAATTTAAAAATAATAATAATAAAAAAAAAGTTTATATGAAAGAGAAAATTAACCTATAACACCAATAAGAGTGCGAGCATCGCCTTTGGAGAACATGATAGATGAAGAAAATTTTAGTGAGAGATTCCTTTGGTTCTAGTGTGAGAAAGATAAGGTTATTACAATGCATGCATGGTTCTTACATATTATATATATATATATATATAATATTGAGGATGATTAGGATGCTTTAATTATTTTAATCATCACATGAAAATATGAAAATAGACAGACAACACATTAATTTAATTAATAGAATATATAATGAGTTAATTGAAATCATATGCTGAGGGTTTATAATTTAGATATTTCTTGTATTGAGATTAACGATAACATATATTACGGGTGCGTTTATTTGAGAGTTTGGATTTTGAGTTGGAATTTGAATAATAAAAATTTTGAATTTGAATAGTTGTATGATGTGATATAAATAGGTGTTGAAGTGATTTTTTGAATGTAAAATTGTGTTTTAGTTTAATATAAAAAATAAAAAATAAGTGTTTTTTACTTGATATTTTTGGAGGAAAAAAAATGGAATGAATAATAGATTTAAAATCCAATCCCCCAAATAAACACAACTGTATTATCGAGCATTGTAACTTATGTGTTGTCGATTTATATTTGAATTGTTGTCACCATGTTAAATGATATTCATTTAGCATAATAATAATAGTATTATGATAATAAGTGAGGGTTTGTTTAGTTTTCGTTTGAAATTGAAACTGAAATTTTAATTTTAATTTTAATTTTTTATTTAAATAGTATTTTGATTAAAAATTTTATGGGAGAAAATAATATATGTAAATTGAGAAATATACAAACTTAATAATTGTGACTTTGATTTAAAAAAAAGAAACAAAAAATTTTGATTTTCATGTGCATGCTTCTCAATAAAAATATAATATTTCTTATAAAATACGATCATATTTAAATATTATTTAAATCTGTTAAAATATATTTAGAAACAATATATTATATCTATAGTAGTTGTCTTATTTAAGAGATTCGTAGAATTCAGGCCTTATTTAGATGATTTGTATATCACTATAAATATGTATGTATTCTTATGATTGAAATAGAAAATTTTAGTTTCATATTCTAACATGATATTAGAGTCAAATTCTCTCCGAGTACATTTATAACCCGTTATATATCATATATATTTTATTGATGTATCCGCTTCTATTCACGGTCATGCTGTTATTTTCATGTCGTCTCCGTCTCTACTACTCCATTGACAGAGTCTACTTTCAGCTCTAACGCCGTTGAGAGTCCTGTTTTTTTACTTTAACTCTATTGACAGCGAGGGGGTTCTGTTTTCGACTCTAGGTCTATTGTAAGCGAGCGAGTCCTGTTTTCGACTCTAGCTCTATTAAGAGTGAGCGAGTCCTATTTTCAATTCTAATGGTGTTGAGAGTTCTGCTTCTGAATCTGATCCAGTGGACGGCTACACCACTTTCAGTTAATCTTGGTGAATTCAAATTCGTACGTGGAAGATCTCGGCTATATCTTTTTCGGTCACTTCTGACAAATTCAAGTTTATTCGATCATATCTTGAGTTTGAAGAGGGGTGTTAAAAATATATTTAGAAGTAATATATTATATTTATGTTAGTTGTCTTATTTAAAATATTCGTAGGATTCTTATCTTATTTAAATTATTTGTATATCATCGTAAATATATACAAACAAAAAAATTTAGATTCATATTTTAACAAAATCAATCAAAATTCAAATCAAAACCAAACAAAAGCAAAGTATTTGTAAGATTTACTTATTTGGGTATTTGTAGGCACAAAGAGGAGATATTTGTGTCAAATTAAGGGATTTGCGTGGGAATTGAGAATTCTAAAAATTAATAATTGGACACAGATCAAACATCAATTTAACGAATATTGATAATGATTGCTTATTTCATTCATGCACATGCATATATGCCTCTCCAAAATCATCTCAAATACTAATTATATATATTTGGCATTTCACATTACCCCCTTTTTTTTTTTTTAAATATATATATATATAATAGGTTTTTCACACACACATATATATTACTTTCAAATAGTTTTATTTTAATTTAATTTCTCATTTTCATATAGCATTTTAAAAAGGTTCTGTTTGTGGGTTAATAATAATAATAATAATAATAATAATAAATAAATAAATAAATAAATTAACAAAATTCAAGAATATTGTTAGTGTATGCATATATATATATATATATAGTGTCATGAGATTAGGCAGCTGTTGTGTTCCTATGCATGTAATAAATGCATCAAGGAATTAATTGCTGCCTATTTTTTGCTTTTATTCAATATATATATTGGAAAATATGGATGAGGTTTTATGTATATTTACTTGGTTTTTGTTTGTTTGTTATTTTTTAAAAGGTAAAATAAGTATTGAATATTGTATTGCTGAATTTTTTTGAAAGATTGAATAGTAAAAATAGAGAAAAATGTATACTGAACAAATTATTTTTGTTCGAAAGAATCATATAGGCTCGTGCTTTCTATTAAGAAAGAATTCAAGATTTCAATTTAAAACCAATTGATTGTTAAGTGAAATAGTTCAGCATTTCCCTCTTGAGATTGTTCGTATATTTTTATATATAATTATTTAGGTCTCGCATATATATACCTATATATATGAACATTGTAACTCTTTTTTGTCAATAATATAATTTTTATTTTTCGCAAATATTCCAACACGGTATAAAAACAAATTACGGTTTATTTTGCCTGAACCATGCCACCGCCTCGTTTTGCCGTCCACCGCCACTCATCAAACGACACCGCCGCCACCACCGCCTTGAGACCGGCCCGCCCCAAAGTTTTGCCAGTGTCGGCGGCGTGTCGTGATCTCACGCACCGGCGACACAAATTGGCGTCAAACCCCTCTTAGTGCCTTCGTCTTCCTGCCGCACATGAGGTGCGTCTAGTGGTTTTCAGCTGCCACCTCTTGTTTCGATTCCCGACGTTAGTGTATGGTCGATTTTGCCATCTGATTCGAATTATTTTGCAATTGTTACTAGGTTGGTCTACTCAGTCTGTTTTCTGCACAATTCTTTTGTGCGATATACTATTTTTGATTTTATCGCTTCATAGTATGACTTTTAATATGGATCGTGTGGACACTTACGAGATTATTGTTATCCTTTTTGGAGATAATTATAATTTGTGGGATGAATCAATAAACAAGTTTCTTGATTGGTAAAGGATTATGATGTTATGTTACTGACGACTTTACTGCACCAGTTGCTCCCACTGTCACCTTTACAGCACCCCTCACCAATAAGGAGCTCATAGATTATCAGAATGTCTTGGATGAGTGAGATAATAAGAATTACATTATTCTTACTTGGATTCAGAATACATCTTCCAAGTTCATTCAGATTCAACTTCGCCGCATGGATACTGCAAAAAAAGTTTGGGATTATTTGCAGCATCGATATTAGGCCACTGCGGGTATACATTACTATCAGCTTCTTGGGTCGTTGAATGCACTAACATACGACTCGAACCATAGTATGAATGAGTTCATTTCTACTATACAATCTATGTGAGATCGCATTGATGAAACATATATACAAATTGAGCACTTTCGATTGATTCAACTCTTGATGAAGCTTGGTCCATAATATGAGTTTGTGTGTGTTTCTTTGCTTTATCTTCATCCCTTGCCTTCCTTAAAGACAACAATAAACGAGATTTTGTTTGAGGACACCCGTCTCAAGATGCTCAAGGCTCCTACCCTTGATTTGGTCTTGGCAGTTTCCTCTTCTACTCCTCATAGCCGAGATACTCGCAAGGATGCCCGACCACCTCAGTCTGATAAATGTCACAATTGCCCAAATGTTGCTCAAATTTTGTTTCACTGCCCTAAGGTTGATTGTCGCTACTGTAATCAAAAGAGCCACATATGTTCGTATTGTCCCAAGAATACCAAGGCTGGTCAGTCCTCTTATTCCGACTCTTCGCATGCACCCCTCCCGAGGGGAACTACCAACTTACTCTTCTCGATGGCACTTCACTAGAGGATCCCTCTCTCTATAGGCAGTTGGTGGGATCCCTGATCTATTTGATGGTCACTCGTCCTGACATAGCTTATGCCATTCATGTTATTAGTCAGTTCATGACTAACCCCCAGACAATTCACTACGCTACTATGTTGTGCATCATTCACTATGTCAGTGAACACTTTTACATGGTCTTTACTTCTCTGTTGACTCTCCATGCTGGTTTCTCTGATGCTGATTGGGTAGGTGGTGCCACTTTGTTCGACAACATGTTTATACCGGTATTGTTCACGTATCTCTTATTTCTTCCGAAGATCAAATTGCGGATATCTTCACCTAATCCTTCTTCCCAAGTCGGTTCTCTATATTGTTGAGCAAACTCAAGTTGGTTTCTATTCTACCACCTTGAGTTTGAGATGAAATGTTTGTGTATTTTTGTATATATAGCCATTTGGAATCCACATATATACCCATATATATGAACATTGTAACTTTTGTTTTTATCAATAATACAATTTATATTTTCGCAAATATTTTAACAGATATGATAATCTCGAAAATCCTAACTATGATCAATACCTAACACGAACATCACGACTATAATACCATGTTAAATGATGTAAATAACTGCTTCATCTGAAAACTTAAGCTATTAAAGATACGCATAATTTATTTATATAACATATACAACCACTGTAAAACAAACAAAACATATCCTTCATTGTGAAGGTTTTTGTGTTAGACTGCAAAAATATCGGTCTACAAATGTAAAGAGAATACAATACTTAACCTAGCGATGAACTATCAGCGGTAAGTAATTTTGTGGATTATCATCCAAATTTTCTAGAAAACACAACAAAATGAGCCTAATATATATTAGGAAATTTCGCCAAACTCATATTAATATTCAAATAATTAGCTAAAAAATAAGAAAATTGAAAAAGAATGAAAATATTAATTATGTGCAATCATGAAGCCACCGTATGAATGGAACGAATCGACCTTTTAGGTAACCCCCGAGCCACTTTTTTATTTTGAAAATATGTCTTTCATCGTTTAGTTTACTAGTGATTTCTTTTCACTTTTTTTTTTTAAATTATTATTATTTATTCTTTTATTATTATTTTTCAAATATCATATTTAACATAAATAAAAAATAAAATTACAAACAATAAAAATAAAGTAAATAAAGCCTAGTCAATAATAATAATGTACTGAAGTGCATGAAATTTGTTATATGTCATTGTCATCAATATTATTCCTACCCATTAGTATCTTTATCACATGTATATGATTGGATATTTAGGGTGTGTTTGTTTGGGGGTTTGGATTTTGGATTGGGATTTGAATAGTAAAAATTTTGAATTTGAATAGTTGTATGATGTGATATAAATAGGGTTTGATGTGATGTTTTGAATGTAAAATTGATTTTTAGTATAATATAAAAAATGAAAAATAGGTGTTTGATTTGATATTTTTGGGGGAAAAAATTGGATGAATAGTGAATTAAAATCCTCCAAAATCCTTCAAACAAACACACTCCTAGATGGATGGCGGTAATTAAATTAAATATTGTATCACAGTGTTATAATAATATTCTTGGGTTTTTTTTTTTTTTTTTCTTAATTTGGTCATTAAAATGAATAATATAATTTTATTATTTATATTAATTAGTTAAAGCTCGTGATAATTTTAGGTATGGATAAATATTTATTTATTTATTTTTAAAATTATGTATGTGTCATTCTTAATTATTTTAATTTCTTATGTGAAGCATATATAACTACTTGATATTCTTGAATTTTTTTTTTTAATATTATAATATTACGCATGTTCATCCAATATTTTTTTTATAACCTTATAAATATTATTAAAAATCTATTCTTTTACGCATACTTACATAATATATATAATACTAATTCCATTATTCATGCTCATTTAACTAGGTACGAATTTTAAGAAAATAGATAAAAATAAATACTTTTATTCTCTCGGGTAAATAAAAAGTAAAAAAAGTGATACTTTATTAATAAAATAATAATAAATTTAGATGATAAAAAAAATAAAGTAAAAATAAATTTAAATGACAAATGAAGGAGTATTGCATTTTATTTACTCACAAAAATTAATATTGAATATAAAAATATTATTTTTATATTACTAAGACGATTCTTCATATCTAACATAAAAAAATACATACCCAAAATATCTCTTTTATAATATACAAAGAGTTTGTTTACTTTGTGTTTTCATGTGACACAATTTTCTATAAATATTATTTTAAAAATACAATATATAATAACACAATATTAGAATACATACATTTTTGTAATAGTTGAAATGACTTATTTCATTAGTGATATTGTATTTAAGGTAACAAAATCTAATTGGTTAATAATATTGAATTAATTTATTATTTTATTAATTCTTTATGTGAATAGTGTTGTTATAATTTTAAAATAAGAATTAATACATGTGATTAAAATAATATGTATAAATATTTTAAAGATTACATTTTAAAAAAAATATATGCAATATAGATATCATTTTATAAAGAATAAAATTTTAAATAATACAAATAATTTTTAAAAAATATTTATTTATTTATAATTAAGATAAACTAAGTTAAAATGTTTCAAATATAGATAAAAAATATTTATTTATTGAGAAGAGATATAAATAAAGAGGTTTATAGATAAAAAAATATTTATTTATTAAGAAGAGATATAAATAAAGAGGTTTTGAGTGGTCTTATATATATGATGATTTATATTTATTAAATATATTTCGATTTAATAAATTTTACCAAAACTAGAAATATATAAATTAAAGTGTAACAAACAAAAAAGAAAATAAGCCCACAAAAATTTTAGTCAACAAACACACTCATCGGTTTTAGCCGGTTCAAAATTTTACTATTTACAAAAAATTTGCCCCCACAATCATCTAATTAAACAATCTAATTTTTATTTTCTATATTATATTAAAAATGAATTTTACATTCAAAACATCACGTCAACACCTATTTATATCGCATCGTACAACTATTCCAATTCAAAAATTTTACTATGCGAATTTCAAACTCTCGAACAAATACACTCGTCAATTTTAGTTCTTTTTCAAAATTTTTACTATTCAAATTCCAAATATCTGTTATGAAATTTTGGTCAATAAAATTTGTATGAAGACCAATATTGTATCCATACACCAAAACACATACATAATTTAATTTGTGGCCCAATTGGAACCTGGCCCTAACCCGTGACCTGTCACCTGCGACCCGGCACCCGTGACCCGTGTGTTTATTAGACCCACATCATATGCCGTTCGATCAAGGGGCTTCTTACTGGCCGTTGATTTGATTTGATCCATTATATATCTATATGGATTGGGAGGGAGCGGCAGGGATTAACACTTCTTCTCAGGGATTCAACTCTCTCTCGCTACCTTCTTCTCTCTCACTTCTCTCTACATCGCGATTCTGTTCTTGGCCGTGGAACTCTTCTGGAAAGTCTATGTTCTTGAGCTTGTAGTTCTCCCCTGTTTGGGACATCTACGAACTGCAAGGGGTTCCATTCGTCAGCCGTGGCTTCGTCTGTACCTGTGGTATTATTTTTTCCACTGTTTTGTGCCGTAAGCCTTCTTCTTCATATGTAGGGGTTGTTTTTGGTGTAGGTTAAGGGTCTTGGGCCGGTTTCGTTGTGTTTGTCACGATTTACATGTGTTTGTGTCAATTTGGAGTTCTTGGGTGATATTGGGGCTGAGCCTAAAAACCAAGCCCTAATTCAAACTTTGTTTTGTATTTTCGTTGATATTTCTTTAATAAAATCAAGTTTATTCCGCGTTTATTTCATAAAATTATCGAACAAAAATACTCATCAATTTTAGTCACATTTAATTCCATTATAAACTATTTCAATCAATTTTAGTTTTACATTTCAAAAGTTAATGAAAATTGTTGACATGGAAGAAACGAAATTGATATGACAACTGACATGGACACAACACGGTCGAACTGGACTTTAATATTTTCAAATTGGTACAGTTTAATTTTTTATTATACCAACTACTTTAAATTCAATATACATATTTAAAAAAAAAAAACAAAAAAAAACATAACCAAGAAGATAAAATTTTTAGATCAGAAATAAAAAAATACACAGATGTGTGACAACATTAGTGTGTATAATTGTACACAACCGTGTGACAATATAAACATGTATAATTGTACATGGCCGTATTATTTTCGAGTCAGCTGTCATGTCAACCCATTATGTCCACATCAGTAATTTCTGTCAATTTTTAAACAGTGAGACAAAAATTGAATGAAATTGTTTATAATTGAACTAAAAGTAATGAGTTTATATTGAAACTACTATTAATTTTTTTTTCCCAATATTTAAAATATAACAAAATAGTTTAAAATGATCTAAATTGAGATTAAAAGTATAAAAATTCTCATACACTAAACACATTAGAAAAAATGATTAAAAAATACTAAATGGAATTTAGTATTGATATTTTTAAATAATAAAAAAAAAACCACCTCAGTTACAATTTATAATAATAAAATCACTGGTACAAAACCCTTGTTTTTGTTTGTTTCACTTTTTCAGTTTCCTATTCCCCAATGTTGCTACTACTACTTCTGATGATGGCATATTTTCCTTAGAGAACATATCCTACCTCAGAATTATAGTACCATCCGGTGGCAGAATCAGATCCTGAATTCTGGGGAGTTGAATACCAATTTGTTACCACAGTTTGTTTTTTCCGAATTTGTTTGATTAGGTGAAGAAGAAGAAAGTAAAAGTAAAATAGAGTGTTAAACTTATAATTAAATACAAATGAACATAATCATATAATTAAACTCAGTTAATTGTTTGATCTGATAGCCAAGCAATTTGGTAAGAGATTTCACCCAAAGCAAATCATGCTTCGTATCGTTTTGCAGAATCCCAAAAATCCGAACTTGAACTTCAATTTCATTTGCATATCTTTTTACATACAGTTACTACAACATACATCACTACAAAGTTTAGACACAATGCATATAAAACTCAATAAGCCCTTACGACAGACATAACAACACTATGGACACACACATTAGCAAAATCTGAAAGCACATCAAAATAAAGATGATATTTTTCCTATAACGTAACACGAAGCATGAATTTTTCTTGAACCGCCAAAGACTCAATCCGATGGGTTAGATCGATGCCACTGGTCTTTAACGTAGCGTAGGATTCCCGATCGGAAGTGTTACAAAATTATTATATCACAAGAATATCAAATAATTATCGAAGAATAGAATTCGACATCAAAATAATTTATCGAAATAAATTCGATAATTACGTCGAGTTGAGGTAAAATTTCTCTCTAATTATCGAAATAAATTCGATAATCAAATAATAATTTATCAAAATAAATTCGACAATCAGAATAATTTATTGAAATAAATCCGATAATCAATAATAATTTATCGAAATAAATTTGATAATCAATAATAATTTATTGAAATAAGTTTGATAATCACATCGATTCGATGTATAACCTCTCTCCGTAAAAACGAATACGCCCCGGTAGTGCCTCCAGTTCGTAGCGCAACGTTCCAAAAGATAAAACGACGTTCGTCTCCAAATTAGGTGGCACCCCAAGATTTCAGAGCCCTGACAAACTAAAATAAGGAGACTTCAAACTATCTCGGGAGGCTTAATATTTAAGAAAAATTTGTTGGGTTTGTACCGGACAAGTCATCGAAAACTTCACCGAAAAATGTTTCCGGGGAGGAGAGGATTAGAGATAAAAGATCTTCTCTTTGTGGTGTGTTGAATGGAATGATGGAAGTGGTCTTATATAGGCACTCCAACCTTGGGGGTGTTTAATTCTGAGTTGGAACCGCCGACGTTTAATGGCCGGTAACCGCCAGTCATAATTTCGGTAATGTTCGACCATAAACACCATACTTAATTTCCGATCATAAATATATTATTTGAATATTTTAAATTTCAAATAATAATTTATCATACATACGTATAATTATAATTTTTGGGCTATATTTTCGTTACACAAAAATATATTTTTTTGGACTTCGCCAAAATATTTTATTATTCTGATTTGGCTTCGGAGCATAATAAACTTCATCAAATCTAGCATTCATCAAACTTAAGTCCAACCCACAACCACGACCAAAACCTTTGAGCCAAAGATAAAATTCATGCTCGTGTACTTGTGTCATTATATGGTCCAGGCAATTGACACGCGCTTACCACCTGCATTTATATGCTTCACTATAATATCAATAACTACTATACAACTTACATGCATTCCAACTCACCGAATAATTTATTCCAAAAATTACAAATTTAATCTAAAATTAAATTCTATCAATTAAATAATTCATCCATTTTCCAACACTCAACCATGGCCAAAAGCGGGAAGCAAATCTCCATTATATTACTGGTGCCAATTCTTGCCTTTCAAAAATGGAGCAATGGTGAAAAATATACAAGATATTATGATATTGTTGTCGTAAAAAATTACCTCTGACGGTTTAATCGAAAAAGCCTGTCAGAATCAATATGTTTCGAAAGATTTCTCGGCCTCTTCAAGAAAGAATCCGGGCTATATTGAGATAACCGAAAAATTAAAGTAAAAACGAAAGAAAAATAAGATTGTAAACAAGAAAGAAAGTTGGAAATTAAATTGAAACTAATAGAAAAAATTCTTAAAATATAGAAGAAATATACATTAAAAAATTTAGAGAAAAAATTAAACGAAGAAGAAGATTACGATGGAATGACGTGTTCATTTTTCTGCGTGGCCCTTATCTTTTAATCTTGTTGCTATCTTTTGAATTTTGTTTGGATAAGGCTTTATCCATTTTTTTTCTCCAACAACCTTAGATTCCTTTTTATCACCTTTTGACTAAATATTTCCATCTCCAATAGGTTGCTTGCATTTTTACCTGGACTCTCATATGCAATGGGCCAAACTTGCTGCTGGGCCCATTCATCGATTTGGGCCGATGAATTTGACTGAATACTGGGCCGCGAACTGAAAATCTTTTCCGTTGGACTTTGTTGATATTAGGCCGACCTCATTATGTATTTGGGTGTCTACCGATATATATATATATATATATATGATTCTTCATTAAATTTCAACATTAATGATTATATCACAAATTCCTATAGATTCTTTTCTATAATGTCTTTAAATTTGAATATTAATTATCATATCACATTTTTCAATAAAAGCTTTTCAATATCTATGTTATAGAATATAATGGATTTATTATCAACAAAAAAAATTATTTACATTTGTTTTATCATTGACTTAAATATTCTTTCTATTTATAATTTATAATTATCAATTACTATATTATATGCATAAAAGATTAAAATTTTTCTAAAATTTTAATTGAATTATTTTTGTAGTTTAAAGTATATAAACTAAAATATTTTAAAAAAATGGACATCAAAATCACATTCATTCAAATATATAAAAAGGTGATTGTAAATAATATATATTTTTTTAATTTAATGTGTATGTAAATTATTTTAAATTATTCATGATATTTATGAAAGATAAAAATATAAATTATGCTATTAACAATAATAAATTATATATTTTATATGTATATATATTAAAACAAACAAATAAAAAATTACAAATATAATTATATATGGCCTATATATTATTTAAATAGAATAAAAATAATTATATACAATGGCCAATAAATTTATTTAAAAAAATAATACAAAAATGCTGAGAATTCAAGCTTTTCACAAAATGGATACACTCTCTTCAAATGTATTTATATTAGTGAGTAATGAGTGCTATGCACAAATATTTTACATGATAAGATATACATATTAGATCATGTCCACCCACTGCATTTATGCAGTGGGTTCCCTTCGGGGAGGAGCTTCAATTCACCCCCAAATTTCCCACCATTTTTTCAGATATGTACAGTTACTCTATTGTGAAATAATATTATACTTCTATTCTATTTTTAGAGTGGAGTTTTTGTGGTATTTTTTTTATATTTTTGATATTTTTTTAGGGAAAAATCAATTTTGGTCCAAATATAATCAAAATTAATCAATTTTGGTCCAAATATAAAAAATTCATCAATTTTGGTCCCAATATAACCAAAATTTATCAATTTTGGTCTCAATATAAAAAACTCATCAATTTTGGTCCAAATATAAACAATTTCAATCAATTTTGGTCTCATTATAAATAATTTTTATCAATTTTGGTCCCATTTGTTAAAAAACTAACGGAAATTGCTGACGTGGACATGACGGAGGTGACGTGGCAGTTGACCTGGAAAGTACACGGTCATGTACAATTATACATGGCCATGTTGTTACATGGCCGTGTATATTTCAGTGTATAATTATACATGGTCATGTTGTTACACGGCCATGTACAATTATACACGACCATGTTGTTACAGGGCCATGTATATTTCAGTGTATCATTATACATGGTAATGTTGTTACACGGCCATATACAATTATACACGGCCATGTTGTTACACGACCATGTATATTTTAGTGTATAATTTATACATGACCATGTTGTTACACATCCATGTATAATTCTACACGGCCGTGTATCTTTCTGTTTCGGTCTAAAATTTTAATATTTTGTTGTATTTTTAAATATATTTTTTTTAATTTAGAATAGTTGATATAGTTAAAATGGAAAAAAATAATAATAATAATCATAATATAATTAAAATATATCAATTTTAGTTCAACTATAAGTATTTATCGAGTATGTTCTTTTGGAAGATTTGGTCTAAAATTCTACTATTTAGCAAAAAAATTTCTCTTACAAACATCCAATTAATGTATTGAAATTTTTGCTAAATAGTATAATTTTAGACAAAATCTTCCAAAAGAACATATTCGATAAATACTTATATTTGAACTAAAATTGATATATTTTAATTATATTATTATTATTTTTTTTCATTTTACCTATATCAACTATTCTAAATTCAAAAAAAAAAGTTAAAAATATAACAAAAAATTAAAATTTTAGACCGAAACAAAAAGGTACACGGCCGTGTAACAACATGGTCATGTATAATTATACACTGAAATATACATGGTCATGTAACAACATGGCCGTGTAACAATATGGCCATGTATAATTATACACTGAAATATACATGACCGTGTATAATTGTACATGGTCGTGTAACAACATGGCCATGTATAATTATACACTGAATTATACATGACCATGTAACAACATGGCCGTGTACTTTCCAGGTCAACTGCCACGTCAGCAATTTTCGTTAGTTTTTTAACAGTGGGACCAAAATTGATAAAAATTGTTTATAATGGGACCAAAATTGATTGAAATTGTTTATATTTGGACCAAAATTGATGAGTTTTTTTATATTGGGACCAAAATTGATAAATTTTGGTTATATTGGTTCCAAAATTGATGAATTTTTTATATTTGGACCAAAATTGATTAATTTTGATTATATTGGGACCAAAATTGATTTTTTCCTTTTTTTTTTATGTATTGTGTAATTTTTATTTTTTAATAGATGATATATAATTTTATATTTTAAAAAGTTGTATTTAATTTTATTTTTTTGAAAAATACTGTATAATTCTTTTTAAAAGTAATATAATATTATTTTATAAAAAATAATATATAATTTTATTTTTTAGAGAAATAATGTATAATTTTATTTGTAATAGTTATTACTTATAAATGATAATTTTCATATATATAATTTTTAAATAAAAATATAAATTATATGTGTATGGATCTAATGTAAAAATAAATTAAAGTTGGGGTGTAATGTATAAATATGAAAAGTTATATAAAATAATATAAAAGAAGAATATACAGGGAATATACTTTTTAGAGTAAAAATTGAAGTTTATGGTTGGAGTAAAATTATTGTAGATCAACGGCATTTTTACTGTAGCAACTACAAAAATAGAGTGGAAGGTTGGAGATGGCCTTAGTCCCTTCGTCCCGGATATTTTGTTCGCGTTACTGTAGACACGAGAATTTAGGAGGAGTATAATTAGTAAATAATTAAAAATGTATTAGTGAAAATAATGATCGTATAATAAAAATAATTATAGATTAATATTAAAATAATTGATTAGTATAATTAAAATTAAAAAAATTATAAATTAAATTTTTAAAAATAAGATTTGTGTATAATTATTTTCCAAAAAAAAAAATGACAAAATAAGTGGGATCACTACAAGAAAATATTATTTTTGTAACGAGATTTTTCCGTCTTTAAATTCACTTTTTCCGTTACTAATGATATTAGAGACGAAATTAATGATGGAATTACGTTAGCTACGTGATCTTTAGTGACGGAATTGCGTTACAAATATACTATTTTTTTTGTAGTGGATGGATGAAGGATTTAAATGATTATATATCTAAAAATAATATATTATTTATAAAATAATGATAACTATAAATAAATATTTTTAAAAATTGTAGAAATGTCAAATGTTAGATTTTAAAAATTTAAATTTAATTAAAATAATTAATTCAATATTATTTGGATCATTGACTCTATGTAAAAAAATTAATTTATAGTATTACTTTTGTTTTGTTTTGTCTTTTTTTTTTTGTTTTTTTGTTTTTATTGTAGCCTCGAAGCCAACACATACGATTTAATATAGATTGTTATATTTATAACAATAATTATGATTTTTCTTTTTTTTTATTGTTGAATCAATGTAAAATAAAATATCATTTTATTTAATGTGAAGTATGTAATACACTGTTGAAATATATATTAATGTTGTATACACGTCGATGCTATGTAATATTTCTTTCATTTATACACAAGCCTATGTATGTGTTGTGTAAGTGTCATGCATATGTTTTGTATGGATTGAGACATCTATATATATATGTGTGCACCAATTCGTGAGGAGAAATGCCAATTTGTAACAATTAATATGATATTGATATTAATAATTATGACATTTTATTTTTTAAAATAATATGAAACAAAATATATATTTATAAATAATTATTACTATGAACTGGTCCTACAAGAACTATTAAAAAAATATATATTATTATTGTATTTCAAAATTTTGATTTAAGAAAAAAATAATTAATTTAATATTATTTGAACCGTTAATCTAACCTCAACTATTAAATTATACTAATTTTTAATATTTTATCAAATAAACATATTTGATAAAATATTAAAAATTAATAAAATTTTTAAAATCGTCCAAAATATTTTTATTTAAACATATTTCAAACTTCAATCTCATCTTCAATTAAAAAAAAAAAATCAAATCCAAATATTTTAAACCAAAATACATTCCAAACTTCTTTTCTAAATGGACCACACATTTTTAAATAAAGCAGTTCCTACAAATATTATTAAAGAAATACAAATATATATATATACATTAATATAATATACTACATTCGTCCGACTTTAAGAATTTTATTTACTTTTTGTGTGTTGATATTTAAATATTAATTATTGTATCAAAGTATAGTATAAATTAAGAAAAAAATTGTAAAAATATTTCAATTAGTGTCTTATAATACTGATAGAAAGATATTTGTAAAAAAAAATATATATATACAAATATGGCCATTGGAGGCAAACGGATGGAGAATATATTATCAACTCATAAAAAATCAATCATTAACACAAAATATTATTTTTTATATTATTGATACAGTTCCTCGTA